GGGGTCTGAGAAGTAAAAATCTCTACCAAGAGTTATATGTAATTTTTGTTCTATTTTATATTCAAAGTGTCTTTCCAGTGGCAACAACAATAACAATTGTTTTTAATTCGCTTTCAGCAACAAGAACAAGATCCGACTAACTTATACATTTCCAATTTGCCGCTTTCAATGGATGAGCAGGAGCTTGAGAACATGCTTAAACCGTTTGGGGCGGTTATCTCTACGAGGATACTGCGGGACTCAAGTGGGACAAGCCGTGGTGTTGGCTTTGCAAGGTACTTCAGTGGTTATAGTCATGCTGGCAGCTTTTTTGCTTTTTTTTTTTTTTTTAATTAAAAAGGCAGGAATAGGAGGAAAAGGCAGAAATTATTGAAAGTGATCAAGCTTTTAAAGAAAAAGGAGATCTAGGTGGAGATACCAGCAGAGTTTTCTTAATTCTTCCTTTGGTAAAGCAAATATGGCTGTGTCTCATCTCGCTTAGATGACTAAATCTGATTCTATTGCTCTTACTGGACAACTATCTAGAGTAAGAGTTCACTCTCTACCACTTCCTCCTCTTCTCTGTACTTCTCCTTTCTCCTCTATCCCTGAACCAGTCAGTAAGAGTTATGCAGTGCTTCACAGAAACTTCTGTGACACTTCTGGCTTTTGAGGCTTGAATTCAAGACAGGAGATCATAAGGAAGAACCCTGCGCGGCACCACCCACCCACCCCACCCCCCTCTTTTTTTTTTTTTTTTTCTTTCTTCATTAGTTCATTCCTCTGAGAAAATTGACTCATCATTGCCCTTTGAACGTCAGCCCTTTTGAATTTTCTGGCCCATTAACATGTTGTCATCTGAGAAAGAAAATATTTTTATTCACTTAGAGTAAATCTCAGCCTAAAATATTTGACAGCTTGGTCAAATACCTCTCCCAAATCAACAAGAAGAAATATGTTCCATAAATTAGCAGATACCTCCCAAATATTCTGTCCATGTGAGTCTTACTTTTTCTCTAGTTAATCCGGTTATTTGTTCTGGGGTCTCTTCATCAAAGCCTTTTCTGTGCCTTTCTAATATTTCTCTCTCTCTCAATAAGCCTACTTTAAACCTGGTATGGCAATCAGAATTTGGAGGCTTTAGATTGGAGATTTCTATCATCAAAAATAGGGGTATGCTTTGAGCAAAGAATTGGGATTCTCAAAATATGTTGTACAATCTCTGTCAGCAGTCAGATTCCAGTAATTCAGATGTTCAGCCAATATTACAATAGCTCTGTATTTGAGCAAATAGCATAATCTAAAATTAGTGAACAGAAAAGAACTGAACAAATCATATCTCCTGATGAAGCCAAAATTTTTAGGCATTGGTTTCCCTGTTGAGTTGGCTATGGGCAGTTCACAGCACTGCGATTTTTATTTTTATGGTTTTTAAAACACCCCCTGTCCCACCCCACCCCCCATTTATTTGCTTGGCAGACTGCCCAGTTTCAAGAAGATACAACAAAGGAACAAATTAGAATCAATGGGATGATACTCCTTTATTTAAGAGTGCAAAACCAGCAAGTATGGTTTCTACCAAAATTTCCTGTCCCCTTTAAAAAAATCAATAAGGATTTGTAATATTTTTGGTGTAAATTTAATTGGGCACTTTCATTTCATTCATACACTTGTATTTTTTTTCATATAAGCATATGCATAAGTATTTGAGTGTGAACTCCATACAAGCATGCACAGAATGTGTGTATGTGTTTTTTGGATGACATACAAAGCAATATATATCCAAAAGTTATATTTGCTAATTTTGAAAAATGATGGTACTTGCTTAAATGCAGCTTTCACTTTTTGGTACTATGAAGGGCACAATCCAGTAACACCCAAGCTAAAATTCAGTAGGCATTATGAATTTATTCAGTCTTTTCTCCTTAAACTTGCTTACCAACTCTATCTTGAATCAGTGGTATTTTAGGAATGCTTTTATTCTAATATAGCCAGAAGAGTTTTAGAATTGTATGTAAAAGCCCAAAAGACTTGTGTGTATCCAAAGCCTCGCTGATATTGAAGACACTAAAAGAGATTAGTTTTAAAGTAAGTATTTTCTCAATAGGTTCTGTATTATACTTTGTGTTTTATATGTATACATAAAAGTGAAGTTATTTTTAAATACATATTTTTTATTCACATACATATACATAATTTATAGAATAAGCTGTTGCAGTTATATCTAATCAGAATTTCTCCCCTTCTGCAAGGTAGGTATTAGAACATTTTTGGATAAATAGTAGTTAAAGTTCAAATTGTCCAAGAAACATGTAGATATTAAATAAAGATTTTAACTTCTTGCCTTTGGGAGCATTTTATTAGGTTAATAAGGCGTAATATATTTTATCAAGTCCAGACTTGAGTCTGAAACTAAATTATATTGTTTGTTTCATGTGAGACAAAAAAATTAGGTTTCTTTGATGTAGATCCAACAATCCAGAACTTCTGAAAATTTTCTAGAAGGTATTTTTGAAACCATGAAGAAAATTTCTTGTTCAGTCTGGCATTTTGATGATTTTACTTGTTGTCTATGATTGTATTTCGTCGGCCTGTGCAGAAAGGCTATCAGAATTAAAAAGGTGCCAAGACTTAGTAATTCTTAGTACTGCTTCTTTGCTGCTGAGGCCATTGGCCTATTTTATGGATCTGAATTACAGAATTTAATGAACAAATGAAAATCTCTGTTCAACATTATCCAAATATCATCTTGCAGATGACTGCAAAATATATTCTTCTTTTCAAATAAATTTTGTTATACTTGCATGTTTCGGTCATCTGTTGCAACTTAGTCCGAGCTGGCAGTTAGGACCGACACATCTACATTGCAAATGTAAGGATGTAGCTGCAACCTACAGAGCCACTCCCAGACTGGCACTAGCTCACCAGTAGTCCACCCAGTCTATTAAGTCTAGTTTTGACAACATAAGTGCACAAACCTGTTCAGGATGCTGGGTAAATTCTCAGCAGCTATCACAGCTATTCTGTCATTGGTTTCTATTTTGAAGGTAACTTGGAGACAATTAAGTAAGAGACAGGTACATCATTTCGTTGGGTTGATATGTATAAGCTAAAAGCTGTAAAGGCAGTTTGGGTTATGTGGTCAGGCATGTTCTTATTTGAGTTTATTACTCTTAAACTGTACAGACACTTCAGAATTCTCTATCGAAAGTGGCATTAGCATTTGTTATATGTATCATGGACACTAAGGATTCAGTTATGAATGCTTGTGGATCAGTCTTTCTGCTTCCTTCAAGACAGCGTAGGTACGTTGTACTAGAGCTGTCCAAGCTATGTTCTGCCTAATTACTGAGTAAATAAGGATATTGTATTTGCAGTTTGGCATTGACTTTGGCCTCAGAGTGCGTAAAATGTTAACTGAGTTTAGTTTTACCTTTCTGAAGTTGTGTGTTCTTAGAAAACATCCTCTCTGTTGCTCACACATGGAAAAGCAAGCCACAAAAGCAAAGTGAGAAAAAGCAAGACATATGCTTAAAAAAATCACAAACATGGGAATCTGGATGAGTGTTTAATTTATGTAAATTATTCTTTATTTTCTTAGAATGGAGTCAACAGAAAAATGTGAAGCAGTGATTGCTCATTTTAATGGAAAATTCATAAAGACACCAGCAGGAGTTTCTGGTATGTTGCATATATTTCTAACGATATATGAATGGGTTACTGCTTACATAGTGGAAGCCTGTTACGCTGATTGTTGTATCTGGCTTCTCATTCAGAGGCAGGCTTATTAAAATTAAACTGTGTCTTGTTGGATGACTGTAATACTTGCTCACTTGGAACACAATATATCACTCTTCTACTGTAAACCTTTTCTAGGAATCTAGTAGTGTTCTCTCCTAGCAGGCAGATAAGCAGCTAAAATGCCTTAAGCCAGCTATGCGCAAATTTACATCCCACATAATCCCAGTTGAAGTCAGGAGGCAAGTATGTGTTGTATGTGTATCAGAACAGAATTTGGCTGATTGTCCGTGGACAATTTTTTTTGAGAGGCAAAAAATGGACTACTTTTGCCATCTGTTGGTGATTTTTCCAAAGTAATTTTCAAAAAAAAAAGATTTGATTAGAGAAAAATAGATTCTGCAGCAGTGCCTTAATGCCAGGCACTTTCATTCATTGGGGAGCTGTGACTCTCAAGTCAAAGTAGTCTTTGAGGTTCTTCAGGAAGATAGAGAGAGGTCAACAAAGAGTGCTACTTCTAGAAATGTTGTGCAAGGCAAAATGCAGAGAAGCTACATAGTGCAATTTTGTTGTCACACCAAGTTCCGCATCAGTTTGCTTGCTTTGTCAGCACTGTTTCTAAGAGACAAAATGTGTATTCCATAAATACTTAAAAATGAGGGAAGGAAATTCAGAGCGGCAGAGTAAAATAAAAAGAAAAGAGGACAATAAAGGAGGAAAGAATACATGACTGACATTCCAGGCAGCTTTTGGTAACCATTTTATTGAGAATCCTAAGTGGGAATTTTTACAAATTACATTGTTGATGTGGTTGCTGAATCCACCTTTATCCCGCTGCTGAAATGTTCTCTGCAGCCAGACCCTGACACTGAGGAGGAGGAGGAAAGCAGCCCTCGGCAGGCAGACAAGAATGTGGCTTGTTTAGTAAAACTACATACATGCCTCATCCCTGAAAGTTTACTCCAGTTTGAGGCAGTCTGTGCTGCGGTAGGAATGGAAAGCTGCTTCAGAGCACAGGAAACCACTCCCTTCACCAACACTAATCTAACGCGGGGTTTTTACTTCCCTGGCTTGGATTTTGCAGACCCTTTGCATTGGGATTGATTGCTGAGATTATTTAGTTAAAACTTTGTTATACATAGGGGCTATAACATTTACTTTTCTATTTCGTATATTTAGCAATCTGTGTTTTACGAGATGGAAAATCCCTTTAGGGGCAAGGAGGTCATGGAACGATTTTCTCTGAATGCTGACTGTGCTCTGATCCACCCTCTGTGATTAGTTTTATAGTGCTGCTATGGCTTGGACATAATTAAGAGCAAAAAGTATGGAGAAGCTAAGAGTTTAAATTAACATATAGGCATTCCTATTCAGTTGGAGCCAGTAAAAAAAAGGTAACAGAACCTCTTATTGGTGCTTTTTAGTTTGCTCATTTTTATTTTCTCTTCTATTATCCCGTTCTCAATGAATGAGCCGTCAAGCATGTCATTGCTAATCATGCTCTGTCTCTGGTGGGTCTTTGCTGAAGCTGGAGTTGCACCCTTACATGATCAGGTTCAAACAGGTAGAAATAAAAAGTTGCTGCATGGAATTGTAAGAACGATTTCTGCAGTGTGAAATATTTACCAGGAAAGTGTGATTAATTAGGGACAAGAAATTTGCACAGAACTGGTGATTGTCAGAAAGTGGAAACTAAAGATGGGTCTCAAGATGTAATCCACCTCATGAACTTTAACCTCTAATGCTTACTTGGCAAAGTAGTCACCTAGGCTCTCTGTCTAAAATACGTAAAGAAGCATACACCTCCAGAGACTGATGTATCTTTGCTGTCAGCTGTCCTTGCGGTTACAATGAGTGTCCAGATGAGTCGCTTGGAAATAGATAACTCTAAATGTCTGAAAGTCAGTTAAGTGAGATGAGTCGCACCCTCCATGACGCTGAAAGATGCAACAGGTAAGTAGGCGCATAAGGGAGTTGTGAGAACCTTGTTTATTAAAGACTCTCAATTTTGTTGTATAGGATACAGTTCCAACTCTACTTCTCCATGCTGGTGCTGTGAAGTTGTATTGCTCCTTGGAAAGGTTTTTATGGAGTTCAAGTTCTTCTGGAGTTCCTTACCACATTGCAAGCACGTGTCCAATAATGCAGTCTTATTAGAGGATGCAGCTTATGCATAATAATATGCTGCAGTCTGCCAAAAAGTGGGGCAGAGTCATGGGGCAACTGTGTCTTGGACTACCTGCACAGAGAAAAGTGCATGTAGTGGGAAAGCTCTTGGACAAACAAAGGTTGGGAAAATGTTTTGAAATAGATTAGCATCCTTCAGGGCTATAGGGCAGCAAGTTCAAATACATGCAAAATAAAATTATAGAACTGGAACTATGTTTAAATTAAAACATTGTGTCCTAGAAACTTGGCTAAAATCAGCAAAGGGAGCTGGCTATAAAAACACTGTTATCAGGATGAGGAGGGTAGGAGAGACGGGCCTGTAAATGAAATAGGTGTGGGAGGAAGAACATCTGTTCAACAAAAACATGCTTTCATAATGCGGCTTTGTTATTGTAACAGAGTTTGGGTTTAAATGGAAGAATGGGTTAAACACAGTTATAGGAAGCATGGGTGAAACCTCCTCTGGAGCATGAGAAGACAGAACAGAAAAACCTCTATGCGTCTGAGAGGGCCAAGGGTAGAACAGGGCGGTCACAAAAGCGTGAACTGTAGAATTGAGTGAGTGACTGGGCGCTGATGATACTGAGCAAGCTGAACCCCAATGTAACAAGCTATTCAGGCTTTGTTACCCTGCTCCATGTTAGCTTAATGAAACATATTCAGTATTTAGTGTGTCCTTGGTTGTCTTCATTCAGGAAGAAGGAAGGTTAGGTCAGAGCAATTTCAAATGCCACGCAAGTTGGTATAATCCTAAAACTCCTAGGAGTGGTGTATTAGTTTTACCATTTGTTCTAGTTGGGATTTGTACTTGTGTTGTGCAAATTATTGTAATAGTTTGTTCTGTCTTACGGACTATGACTTTCTGTCCATTTCTCTCAGGACTTTGATTGTTATATTTCATTCTCTTCTCAACTGTATGTTTATTACATGATTGCTATAATCTTGAATAACTTCTGCATTTAGTTCTACTTTTCTCTGTAAGAATTAGTGTTTTCAGTGAATAATGTGATATTTAAAGCTTTTCTATTCCCCTGTGAAATGTGAACCTCATGATGTGAATTGGAGGAAACCGAGACTAGAGTAGTGTAAGGAGCCAGGACACAGAAGATGAGTAGCGAGGACAGAGCAGCATACTTAGCCTCCCTCCCCTAAAGATGATACTTAATGTTCAGTGTCTTTTTGCCTTGTGTTGGACCCATAACAATTGTAGAAAGGATCTGCTGGGCAAAATCACAAAAGGCATCTCCTCCCTATCACAGCAGCATGTAGCTGCATGATCATACATGAGAATAATTATATAAATAATTACATAAAGCACCTGTGCTGTAGAAAACGTAAGGTATGTATAAGTCTGAGTGTATTTGTCTCTTACATTTAAAGTGAAAAATATAGCAGTTAAAAAGTTACAAAAGTGTTATGCCTGTTGTATAGGCTCTATGGATTATTTAATACTTCTTTTACTGAAAAATAACTTAGGTGATTTTATTTTAGTGGGTGTAAGATAGACAGCATTTTTGCTGAGCAGCCCATACCATTTTTGCTTCAGGAATGGTGGGTTATGGTGATGACCCAAAAATCATAGGTTATCCATGACCCACCCTCCTCTTCCGAACTAGTAAAGATATTGGTCACTCAGATTCTGGTTTAGGGAGGAAATAGAAGATAGGTGTGAGAACCCTGCTCCTGCCTGTGCTCTTGACTGTAGACTAGGAAGAGGTCCACCAGGTGTGGTAGACACTACTGTTTGAAATGATTCTGGTCTTGGATGTCTTTCTAGTACAGGAGAGGAGTGAAAATGGAGCCTTGAAGTAGTTATCTTGTGGCAGTAATTTCTGAGCTTTTTAAATTTGCTTACCTTGACAAAACATCCAGCACTGCAGATCTCTGTATACTGAATTTAAGCTGTTTGACCATAAACTCACATTTCTTAGTTATCTTTCACAGATCCTTCAGAAACAATCCATGAACCACTGCTAAAGGGTGTCAAGAGGTCACAGTGCTGGTGTTACCCCTGATTGTCACACTGAAGGCAGAGGAACCAAGATTTTACCCATTAGATCAAAGATTAGAAGCTTTTACTGCTCTAATTCTTATAGTTTGTAATTACTGCTTAGCTTTAAGAAGCAACATTGGAATAGAAAAGAAAAATACTGCTTAAAACAACTCCAAATATACTCCTGTGACAAATTATTAAACCCTGTGTAAATTATTAAAGAAACGTAACCCTGAGCACGGTGTTTAAATGAAGATTAGAATGGTGAAGAGCATAGATTTCATTTCTCTTTAAACATATAAAGCTACTAAGATCTTGGGTTGCACAACTGCTTTTTTGACTCCCACGGCTTTTGGCAAGTTTCTAGCTGTACAGGCTTGCTCTATTATTAAAGTGATGTTTTAATGTCAGAACTCATTAGTCCTATATGCTATGTCACTAGAAGATGCACTTTAGTTGAAAACTGATTAAAAGAATAGTATTTTAAAACTATTTTGTTGTATTTTTTAGTATCTGAAAGCAGGGTTTATTGAAAAGTTGATAAAACCAGCCATGTGAAGTCAAGGGTGTAAACACAAAGTCCAACACCAGAAGATCAATTTTGTTCTTGCATTTATAGTATCACCTAGTACGTATTTGGGTAGACATTGAAGAAACGAAGACTGAACTCTAATGTACACACGTTCACAACGTGTGTTTGGCAAGTATTTACTCTCTGGACTAATACTTCATTCACGTCTTTCTTCCGTAAAAACATTAGCCCTAGAGGAGGGTAATTCAGGGCAGGAGGAGATAGTCAGCACTTTTCACAGCCAGGTTTTAAAGCACTGACCTGCTGTTAAAGCGCAGCAGAGCTCACAGTTACAGGACACCTCCATGGCAGCAGCTCAACAGGCATCTACAAACCATTGAGAGCCTCTGTTGGTTTTCATTAAGTGTCAGTAGAGTGGGTATTTTAAACATGGTGTCTTAGCTGCAGAAGCATAAATCCACTGTAACTCATAGCCTTTTACATCAGCTATCTCTTAGCTGTGAATGCAACTCTGAATATTTATACTGTGCCTCTCTGTCTTGCACATACAGACAAGTTACTGAATGATTAATGATCCCCTTCATCACTGGGCCTGCACACTTCCCAACAATTAAACAATAAAAATGGCTCTCCCTTCCTTCCTGGACCACGAAAAAGATTGCTTGACTGGTCTGTAGGGCTTGTTGGAGTTTTTAATTTATATCTATCTATCTATTATATACATGTTTGTATGTGCGCGAGAGAGAATATTTTATGTATTTGTGAAAAATATGAGGAAAGCTAAGCTGAAGAAATAAATTTCAGATTTAATTTTGAAGAGAGTAAGGGCTATGTTCATTCCTTGGTGGGAGGGGGATCAATAGATCATACTTGGCTCCCGTGAAGGTTTATCTCCTTCTCATGACCCTCCCTCTGTTGACCATCCGTCATTGTGTTCTTGAAGCAATGAATGCAGTAGTACTCGGGTTATGTGTATGGAAAAGCAGCCAAAAACTGCAGTTAGGCTTTCAGTTGCAACAGTCCCCACTATCAGCATTCAGTTCTTGGACTGGAATCAGGGAAGGCAAATGGCATAGAGCCTTCTCACAGCGTTAGCGGTATTAAATACATGGTCTGCTTCATTTTTTTTAACACAAGTTGGAGCTTTCACAGAATTTGGCTTTGTTTATGGACACAGTGAGGAGCAAGAGAAGCTGGAAGGTCAGAAAAGCAAGGGTTCCCGTGACCAGATCTGTGTTCAGTAAGATGGAGCACCAGTGTCTGGCAAATCACAAGTTAATGCCTTTTTAAATTTTTTTTTTTTTCATTGCTCCAGGTTTTGGATATTACATATGCAAGTCCAATACACATGGATAATTCTTCTTCCATTTTTTTCTTCATCTTTAAATTTATCAGGAGAGTGTTTCCAGTGCTCCACAGAAGATATTTCATCATTTAAAATTTAGCTGTTTTCAGTTATCTACTGACAAAAAAAGTCATATTTATTCTTAAAATAGATTTTTATGAACATTTTATTCAAACAGTTGGACATGCTTACTCTGACTTAAAAAAAATGATCTTTGTCTTGAGACGATGGGAGATGTAAGCACAAATAACGCTTTCAGAAAAGTTTTGTACAGTTCACTATGGGGATTTTTAATGAAAGCATAATGCAGCTTTAAATAAAGTACTTGCTACCTGTGAGTGCTATAATACAGAATTACAGGGCTAGAAACCTTTAGGTATTTTCTGATGTCTTTATAAGCCATTCTCATGCCAGTTTCTTTTGATTTCATCCAAAAATTTATAGTGTGTATTTTGGAAGTCACACATGCTTCCCACAATACTAGATGGTTTGAAATAATTTATAAGTAGCCAGAGATACTCAACTTGCGGAAGAGCTTTTTTTCATTTAAGGCAATTAACTTCAGTATTTGGATCTCAGCTCTCCCTTTCTGATGGATTTTTTTTTTTTCATTCACTGTGTAAAATCAGAGTCAAAATTATTTCAGACCAGAACCTGACAATTTTAACCATGTTGAGTAACATCTTCTGAGATTAACTCTTTTTATGTCAACAGAACTGTATGTGGATTAAAATGCTGCGTGATATGACCAAGGTTATTGGGACCTGGCTTTTATGACTTACCCATCAGCATATTGATATAGTAATTTTCTGCCCACATATGCCAAGATAGAAGTTTTTTCTCATAGTAGAAGACCCCAAAGCAAAACTCAGTTCCGGGAATGCCAAAAATCCCCTCAGAAATGCAAGATTTTGAAGGCAATGTTCTCCAGTTTCTGTCTCCTACTTTATGGTTTCTATTCATTTTCTTGAACCTTTCCTCCACTGTCCATGGGACTACAATACTCCAAACCTTTCCCTGGTTTATTTTATGATTATAGGGTTTTAATTACCATTTTCTGTAACATATAATACATTTTAAATTAATTCAGTTGTCATGTTTAGTACTGAAGTGTGACTCTCTGATATTAAAGTTATTTGCTGAATAATAGCGCACAGGTACGAGAGGTACAAGTCTCTGACGGATGTGTGGTCAGTGTTGGAGATGAGACAGGGAAGCACATACCAGCTCTGTCTCCTAGTCCGTCCATCTTTATTTATAGAGAAAGCTGTCAAAAACGTATCATAGAGGAAGTGGCTATTTTCCCAGCAGAACCAGAGCTAGTGTTTTAGGTATGCCATACACCCAAAGCCAGTGGTGACTTGGCCTTCAGTGTTAGTTTTGTGCCGATGGTTTAAAAGTCAGGCTGTCTGCCAGGTTGTAAGTCTCCGAGGCGTTCAGTACCAATCATCTTTTGTAAACGCAGACAGAGTCAAGAGCACATCAGCGCTGGCCATGGTTATACTAATAGATTTTGTTGTGTGATACATATGTGCTAAAATTTTTCTTGGGGTTGGTTTTTTGCGGGTGGCCCTCCCACCCTGTGTGTTTACTCTACATTTGGAAACTTGCGTGTTTTCAGATCCAGCCGTGTCTCATGCAGGTGTTTCCAAACAGCGAATGACTGCAGGAGTGTCATGGTAAAGCTTATAGACAGCTCATGTGTCAGGAATTACTGGCATAGAAGTGATCACATCCAAGTCATAACAGTGCTTCCACCCTGTGATTAGGAAGGGTGTGGTGTGATGTAGCAGAGTTGTGCTTCAGCCATAGGTACTCAGAAACTATTACAGTTTAAGCTCGTAATAGGGACAGAATGCTATGCAAATTTTTATTTTTCATTGCTTGAATTTTGACATTAGAAATTGAAGTCACAGTCAGAATTATGTTATGCAGAAAATTAAAAAAAAAAATAGCGATACCATTTCATGACAGTATGCAAACAACAAGATAAAAGAAGAACCTTGAAGAATTTGTTTGCATTGTGTGCTTTTTATAGAGTAGAGATAAAAAGGGAATGAGCAGTTGTAGCATTTTTTTCAGTGCAAGGTGGCAGGAGATAAAGGTGCCCACTCCACCCTGCCGGTTAGAGTAAGTGGAAGTACTGTGCCAGCTCTTCTGACTGTTCTGGATGAGCAGAGCAGTTTAAGTTTTGGGACTTTACTGAAACCTCCGAGGGGTGGGGGGAACATATTAAAAGGCCTTTGGCCAGATTTATTCTCCACCCTCCTTAGATGTACCTCCTAAGAGGCAAAGCTCAGAATTCATGTGGCAGTTCTCATTCATCCCCAGACCAACAGACACATACTCAGGGTATACAGGTCATGTTTCTTTCCAACAGGTTTTAGAGCAGTAGTTTAAAATCAAAGATATAAGGCATTCCAGATGCTCTGTTTGTGTGTGGCAGCTATCTTTGTGCTGTGCAGAAGTCGTTGATGTAGTATGAGTCTGTGTTACTGAACTGTCATGTTGAGAATGTAATGTAAAAACCATACCTCATTTGGAGCGCTGAACACCTGTGTATGAACACTGCTTCGACTAATATTCCTTCTTTCTTCTCAGTTCCTGCAGAACCTTTATTGTGCAAGTTTGCCGATGGAGGACAGAAAAAGAGACAGAATCAGAACAAATATATACAGAATTGAAGAGCGTGGCACAGAGAAAGCGAGGTTAGACTTGTAAGTCCTCCCTTCACACTTTAGTGTGGGTGTACAATAATGAATACTTATGAAAATGATAGGCATTGAGACTTCTTGGCTTGGCTCTTTGGCATATTAAAAACGTGCAAGCAACTCTTACCTGACAGTTTGCAACTCTATAAAAATAGTTAACTGTATCTTTCTTAAGAGGAAAAAAGGCAAAATTTGAAACACTAAATCCTCCCTCATTAAAGTGAACAATAAAATCTCCTTCAACTTGGTCAGGAATATGCCTGAGAAATTTCTTACATTACAAAACTAGCTGAAACATAACTTTATTTACATGTAGTAAATAATCCTTTGATTTATGCAGCACTGAAATGCACATCACTTTCATAAGATTAAAATAGTATACCAATGGAGTGCAGCACTAATTTATTTTAGCTTTTTTAATTTTTAATGTTCAAGATAATCGTTTCATAGGCTTACTGTGGTTAGCAAGCGTAGACACCTCATTTATATGAGACAAGAAAATTCAAATGTGTCTTCTGAAAAACTGCACTCCCCGTTCATTCTTCTAGTTAATAGGTTGTAGGCAACACCCTAACATAACCATCTTCATGCCCTGCCTCTCAAATACACACATGTTCTCTTAGCCAGGTATTTCTTAGATTGTATTTTGTTCCTCATGCTGGGAACATGAAAACTTGTATTCATAGCCAATACCACTGACTCTCTTCACTATATAATTACATCTGTCAATTAACCTTTCCCTAACTTAAAGTAATAAATTATTTCAATACAAATTTTCAGTTAAAAGTCATACAACTAAAGAAAGAATAAGAAAATAATTTACAATGAAAATGAATTTTGTCAACTCTTTCTTTCCACTTTTTTTTTTTTTTTTAAAGGCTGGAATGACACTCACGTATGATCCAACCACAGCTGCTTTACAAAATGGGTATGTTAAATAATGGCATACTAAGAAAAGAAACGTTTGCATTATGAAAGATGCACAGAACTGGCGTTTAATAAATATTTCTGCATTTTCTAGATTTTATCCATCACCCTACAGTATTACAGCAAACAGAATGATCACTCAGACATCTATTACGCCATATATTGCTTCTCCGGTTTCCACATACCAGGTTTGTATTTAGAACTTAGTAGCTGAAATGGTTCACGGGAGCTTATGTTTATTTATCAGTTACTACATCTGGTTTTATGACTTCTTCAATAATGCTTCATTTTAATGAAGTGGCCTCTTCATGCTTTACTGCATGAAAACGAAGGCCTTAAAAACTAAAAGTGTTTTTGTTTCAGGAAGCACAGCAATTTAATGAGATACGTGGTGTCTTGCAAAACAAAGTCTCTAACTTGTGCTGATGGCTAAGGTATTTATAGCCACTTCTACATTTCCTGTATGATTTTTCATTTTCTCTTGGTCAAGTTCTTTTTATGTCAATAATAGATCTTTAAAATAATTATTCTTTGTTTAAAACCTTCTTGATTTACTTAAATTCTATTTCAAATACATTTCTCCATGCTTTTTGAACTTTCTTCAGGTTGTTTCAGTGGGAAAAAAAAAAAAAAGCCCAACAATGTGTTACAAAGTTGTACTAAGAAGGGTACAGAAATTTGCTTGACATTAGAGAAGGAAATTTGAAAAAGAGTTCAGAGTTCAAATGACATTAGCGTTCAAATTCAGTGTTTTCATATTAGGAGTAAAGCATTTAATAGTCCAGAACTGTGTTTCTAAACAAAAAGTTGCTTTATTTTGAACAATAAATTAAAACATTAATCATGCACATTTTTAGTTCTTAGAGTCCAGTCCAAAGCTTCCTGAAAAGGAGTTTTTGATAGGTGTCATCTTGAGTCCCCACTAGGGGATTTTGACAAACAATCCAACATGCTGAGAGATTATATGGAACAGTTTGTGTACTTTGATATAAATCTCATAGGCATGCTCAATTTTAGGGCATCGTACATTTCAGTTTACAAACAACTTGCATTTAATGCAACTACTGTGGCAGCCTCGGAGGTATGCTCTGTAATTATTACTTGAGACATGCCAGTTATCCCAGTGTAAGCTAAATGATCAGCTATTTTGGTGTTTTACTGTTTAACACATAGACAAAGTAAACATCAATGATTCAGGTCATAAATAACCAAAACCAACTAAATTTGGACAATTCTTACCTCTGTATGTCAGGGGAAGAAGAAGAGGCTGTTTGCTTTTTAGTGAGAGAGATGTGCTGAGTTTTCTAGCTTACTATGGGTGAAACTGAATATAGGCAGCTATGTAGAAGGCATATAGAAGGCTAACAGAGGCACTGTGGGCCATTTGGTCAGTATTCCCGTGCAGAAATTTCCACATACCATCCCATTCCAGGTGAGAAGAATGAGGAAGAGTTGTCTAATATTAGTTTGGAGGTCTAATGCCTTCTTGTGCAAGCAAAGGGTTATGTAGGAGGTAAAACAGTGTACTCTGGGGTAAAGGGCAGCTGGATTAATTTTATATTAATTTCTGAGGTGACATATGCAACGCAATGTTTGCTCTCGGCAGTGCTAGTACTGTATTTTTCAGTATATTGAATCATTCTGCTTTGCACAGCAATACCTCAAAAATTACAGGAAGCTCTTACCCAGAAAAATATTCCAGTAGAATTAGCTGCTATTCTTGATTAAAATATAAATTATTTATCAATATAAGACTCAGATATTCAGAATCCAAGTAAAAGTTGGAAGTTGGCATAGAAATATACTACTTAAGAATATAATATCACTTTTCTGGGCTTATTGAGATAGGCAGACCACAATATTGTATGTTTCCAGAAATGTTGTGAACAGTATTTCAGTATACATGGTATGGAGCCTAAATTATTGTGGATGGAGTTATTAACATCATTATGCTTCAAGTGCCACAGTAGTAGGAATTGAAAATTAAATTGAAGTATTCGGTACTGGGGAGGAAGGAGGTTCTTGGCCAGAAGAGTTTCACAATTTGCGTATTAGTCACGTCTTCATTAGTGATCCCTTCTCATTGAAACCTGCAGCATTCTGTCATCTACACAACAGGATGATCTATTTATTTTTTCTTTGAGGCATGGCATAACCTGTTCCTAGATCTATTCTTACTAAGGGTAAACAAATTTAATAAAGTTTTAGATAGTGTTTGTTTCTGGAACTCCTGTATACCTAAATGACAGTACTAAGCCAGTTACTATCATAGTATGAGTAGATTAGCCAAAGCTTTATTCAGGCTGTACCAGTATTTTTGCCATTAAGCTTTTGCTTGAGGAAAGGGAGGGTTCAAGTGTTTTCCATTTTTGAAATCCTGTTTGCTCTTTTTCTGATTGGAAAAGAAAAAAAAACATTACTCTGATTTGAAAGTCACTACCAACAGGAGGGAAGAAATATTTCCATCTTGCAGTAAATACGTCACCTGGATTTTTTTTTTTTCAAGACTATCCACCTGTCCTGTTCACAGGACTCTGGGAATGATGGTAGAGGTGTTTAAAGGGTTTTGAATGTCCGGCAGCCATGGTGAGTCAGTTCCACATGTGCAGTGCAGGTCAGAATCCTGCCTTATCCTATGCACCTACAGGAGGTGGAGAGGAAACATTTCTATTCTTACCTACACTATTTCTTGCAGCCCACTTTTTTCAAAGAGCTGTTGCAACCAGCTCTTTCTAACTAAGATAACCATATAATCTATTAGTTCGCCTTTTAATCTTTTTAATTTACCTTGTCATGCAAAGTTAGGCATCTGTGGTGGGTTGACCCTGGCTAGATGCCATGTGCCCACCAAAGCTGCTCTGTCACTCCCCTCCTCAGCTGGACAGGGGAGAGGAAGCATAACGAAAGGCTCATGGGTTGAGATAAGGGCAGGGAGAGATCATTCACCAATTACTGTCACGGGCAAACCAGACTCAACTTGGGGAAATTAGTTTAATTTATTACCAATCAAAATCAGAGTAGGATAATGAGAAAATAAAAACTAAATCTTAAAATGCCTTTCCCCCACCCCTCCTTTCTTCCCAGGCTCAACTTCACTCCCAAATTCTCTACCTCCTCCCCTGGGGCAGCACAGGGGGATGGAGAATGGGGGTTGCGGTCCGTTCATCACATGTGTTCTCTGCCACTCCTTCCTCCTCAGGGGGAGGACTCCTCACAGTCTTCCCCTGCTCCAACATTGGATCCCTCCCATGGGGTGCAGTTCTCCATGAACTGCTTCAGCGTGGGTCCCTGAAGGGTGCAGCCCTTCATGAACAGACGGCTCCAGCACGGGCTTTCCACGGGGTCACAGCCTCCTTTGGGCACATCCACCTGCTCCGGTGTGAGGTCCTCCCCGGGCCGCAGGTGGATATCTGCCCCACTGTGGACCTCCATGGGCTGCAGGGGGACAGCCCACCCTCACCGTGGTCTTCACCACGGGCTGCAGGGGAATCTCTGCTCTGGTGCTGGAGCACCTCCTCCCCCTCCTTCCTCACTGACCTTGGTGTCTGCAGAGTCGTTTGTCTCACATACTCTCACTCCTCTTTCTTCAGCTGCAATTGTTGTGCAGCAACTTTTTTTTCCCCTTCTTAAATATGTTATTCCAGAGGTGCTACCACTGTCGCTGATGGGCTCGGCCTTGGCCAGCAGCAGGTCCATCTTAGAATCATAGAATCGTTTAGGTTGGAAAAGACCTTTAAGATCATCCAGTCCAACCATTAACCTAACATTACCAAGTCCACCACTAAGCCAATGAAGGGTAGAGTAGCAATTTCGTGTTTCCTGGCTTGGTGGCTGGATTATTTTTAATGAAAGTAAAAACTAGGAATAATTAAGATTGGAAAGGACCTCTTAAGATCATCAGTCCAACCATCAACTCAACACCATCTTGGAGTCAGCTGGCATTGGCTCTGTTGGATGCAGGGGAAGCTTCTAGCAGCTTCTCACAGAAGGCAGCCCTGTAGCTCCTTTGCTCGCAAAACCTTGCCACGCAAACCTAACACAGCATCCTACCTGAGTTTAAGTATTTGGGTAGTCAGTGTTTTTGGAGAGAAAACATGCTAGTTCTAAGAGCAAGAATGCTTATCGGAACCTTCTCCTCTTCCTGTGCTTTGGGAATAACATACTGCAATGTCTTGGAGAAGAACAAGTCTCCTAAATCTTCTCCTTGTTCCTGGAACAAGATTCCAGCAGAATTCCTGGTTTCTTTTTCCCTTGTGAATAATAATTTATTTTATTCTGATCACACTAGAAGGCAAATGATGCTATAGCTTTTAAGAACCCAATTACTTTTCCCCAAAGGCATTTCAAAGAGAGAAGGTGCTTCCTTTTTCAACACAGCACAAATCTCTCATGCATCTATTTGAACGCTTTCAGCGTACTCGATAAAACTTCTGAGACATGCACTAAAAACATAGTATACTGTTCTGAAAGGTATATGTGGTATATTTTCTACAAATCTTGTTTCTGTTTTACAGGTACAATAAATAGACTTTTCACAGAAATCAGTGTTGCTCCACAGAGTGACTAATTGCATTAAGAAGTGAATGAATAAGGGAGGGGGCTTGTTAACATGATTTATTAAATTTTTACTATATCTCAGTTGGAGTATTCAGAAAAAGAATGACTAAAATAAAAAATAAAATACTGATTTTGTTCTAGGTTCAGAGTCCTTCTTGGATGCAGCCTCAACCATATATAATGCAGCACCCAGTAAGTTTTGATGCTTCTCTGTTGTTGTGTCACTGATTGTATAAACACTTCACATGCTTTAAATAACAGGACATAGGTCAATTCCCGCCTGATTACTTCCCGAGTTGTGACAATTGCATCATGATTACATCATGGATCAAAATGAAAATTAAGAAACAAAGATAGTAACCTGAATTGGGGCCTCATTTTATTAGGAAAAAAAGAAAGCTGCCTTCAGGGTATCAAGGTGATGAGGCCAATCAGAGTTACCAAGTCAGCATCCTGAGGAAAAATTTTTTTTTTTTTTTTAATTTAAATGAAAAGCACTTTGCAAATACCAATGATTTACATACCAGTTACCTATCAGGAGCTGGATATGAAGGCCCGAGGTTTTAGAATGGGTCTAGAATAGTTCAGACTGGATAATTTGTGAAAGACAGATGGGTGTAGTCATACAAATGACATTATGGGCACTCACTTGAGAAAACCTGCATAGCTTGTTCTGGCTTCACTGCTCATGAGTAATGCTAGTCTCCCTACACTTTTGGCTGTGGCATCTGTACCAGACTGTCAGGCATTCTAATCTATACTCTGCAATGATTCTATGATATTTTGCTTCTTATCTGTGTCATTTGCCAATTAAGTACCATTCTGTCTGAGACTTACTAGGTTTCTTGAGATGTGCATTACAAATAATAACAGGCGCTTTAATATATGCACTGATGTAGTTAACAAACGAATCTGTTTCCACATATAGAAAGCATATTGTCTTGACTTTAATTAACCTCTCCATGCAGATTATAGAATGTAAATCTTCTTGGCAGAACATTTTCTTCTTGTGCATGCAGAGAAGGTGATACTGAACCAGAACACCCTCTCACACACTTATTTGTATTTGTGGTTTTTTGATGTTAAACACACATGCACACAACTGTTTTTAACTTTTCTCTCTATCAACACAGATTTTCATAAAAAAAACATCTTGCAAATCATGCTGTGAAAGACACAAGTTGATATGTTATAATGCTATAAGGTATATTACTTTCACAGGTATACAAGATGAGATTTCACAGTTGAAAATAAAGATCTAGATTCCTGACTTAAGTTCAGTTTTGGCCTGTGCAAAGACTGGTGCTGTCTTGCTCATTTGCGTTGCAGAGAAGCCTGCAGTCTACAGACAGGAAATTCTTTTAGTGTTTGATGTGCCTATGACTCATTTCATCTACACTGATCACATGGTTGTTTTTCCAACTATACTCTGTACGTGTTTTTTCTTTTCTTTTTTCTTTTTAAGGATTAGTTATTGATTCAAAATACAGGCTTTCAGTACACTGCAATTATTTCTGTTAGTTTTGAGCCTCCATCGATTTTAATCAACGCTTCTGCAAGCATAAGTCATACAAAGTATTCAGAAATGTGTTTTTGTAGAACATGGTGGGTAAAATGAGATTTGTTGATAACCCTCCATTTCAGATTACTCTGAAAACCTTACCAGTGTGCCCTCCATATTTAGCAAGCTCAAGTGTTTAAAAATTCGACGTACACTTTTTATGAAGTTAAAATGGTACAGGAGTGATAGAAAGGTCATCACAGTAGCCAGTATTTAGACAAAGAATCAGCATTGCTAACTCACTCTTCTGAAATGTGTGTGCTAATGAAACCAGCCATTAAGCAGGGCAGCTGTCTTGTGTGTGAACATCACATGTGACAGGTAGAATTCTCCTAACACAAATGTTCCTCCAAAGCCTCTATTCCTAAAGATGATATAAAAGTTTCTTCCTAAAGCCTGAAATTCCAAAGCTTAAGCTAAGCGAATCTATACTTGGTAACATGTGCAGATTTTTGCTTTAAAGCTAGCATCTGGTTAAACTCGTATTTTACAAAGTGTTTTCAGCAGGTGTCTCAAGTGCATTGTACATCAGTTGCATGTTCAGTAGGAAGTCATTGCAGTTCTTACCCTGTTACCAAACTGTGCAAAATGCATCTGTTCAAATAGAATATTCAGAATACCCCAGACCTGCTTCCCGAGTCAGTGCCTGGGATTAAGGAGGGTTCTTGTGGAACTCTCAGAATCCCCTCAGAAGGACAGCCCATACTTAGACTCTCAAATCAAAAATTTAATTAGAATCTCAGTGTTGCCGCAACCATTTCTTTCTTTCTTTCTTTCTCTGTTTTAATAGGGTGCTGTGCTGACTCCCTCCATGGACCACACCATGTCACTACAGCCTGCATCGATGATAAGCCCTCTGACACAGCAGATGAGTCATCTTTCATTAGGCAGTACTGGAACAGTATGTAGCAATTTAATACAAAATAGAACTTACAGAAGTAGAAAATACTGAGTGTAGATCACAGTATGCATGTGCAGCTTGCATGTAGAAAGAAGTAATCCTTTAAGTAGTCTTTCATCCAATAAAATATTAGGAACTGTCTCCATTTTAAAATGCTATTCAGCGGTTTTTATTCAGTCTCTTAGCTGATCAGAAATTGAAAATGAGTAAATAAAAATAGATCAAAGCAATGAAATGAACCCAGGAGGTAACTCCAGAGTTGTATTGAAAAAGAAAAAATAGTTGGTTTTACTCTTCAGGAGATCAGAGTTGCAGAAATTAATATAAAGTGTGGAACAGAAACTAAACCAGAAGAAGAGATGCAGGCTAGCTTCTAACCTGAAAGACCCTTCTTTTCCGAGCAGATGGAATTAGGAAAAGAAAATATGATGACTGGGATTAACAGAGAAGGAAGAGTCCTTTACCTAGTTTTTGAAGTCTAAGTTTGAGTTTTCTCAAAAGAGGTGTCTCACTTTTCTGAAAAGTCTATTGATTTCAGACACAAAAGTCTTTCCCGCATGTATATTGCTTTAGGGAAACAGTCAATATCTATTAAACAATATCATGATAGGTATTTTGAATACTCTTGAATTTATATTGGGCTTTAACTCAACTCAATGGACTCTCTGTCTTTCTAGTACATGCCAGCCACAACAGCTATGCAAGGAGCCTACATACCCCAATATACACATGTCCAGACAGCAGCGGTTCCTGTTGAGGTCAGTATATTTTATAAAAGACCAGAGATAAGAGACATGAATATCATATTAGATTTTTTTTTTCCCTAGGAAAACTACTGTTTAAAGCCTAACATTGTTAACTGTGAATGTACTATGAATACAATGTATACCAAAACTGTTATTCTCAAGTAGTATAACTAGTATTGTAACAAAGAATGACCTGTACTTGTAGCAGTACAGTACTTGGAACAGTCTTCTGTATGAGCATAGCTCAGACAAACTTTGTGTTTTGTGAAACCTGACTTCCAATGGCAACAAGCCAGGGGGTATATTGTAGTTTTGATCTTTCATTTAGTTTTCCTGTGAGCAAACTTCTCTGCTGACAGACCACAATTGTACCTTTCTGCAAAGAATCACAATTTTACCCTGGCATCTCAGGATACAGTGCATATTTGCCTAATAAACCCCTCTGCAAGTCCAGTTGAAGAGCATAACTACATGGTAGACAATAGTTTGTCTACTATTTTGACTTACCTTCGGTACTTCTTTAACAGAGGAGCTAGACAGGGTATGCTGCAGCTCTTGCTTCAGAATGAGTGCTAGACAGTCTCTTCCAGAGCCTGTAACATTTCATTTCAAAGTCTATTAGTCCAGAAACTTGTTTGGTTCAGTTTATGCATCTGCCCATGTGGGTCAGAGGAAGACTTTTGGAAATTAGCTGGTTGCACTGTCTGCCAGGGCACTATCAGCTGAATTCATTCCCTGGTTTCTGGGGGTCCGTGTGCAAAGTCCCAGCTACAGTTCTTTGTGTTGCCTAGTGCCAGTCACACCATGGTATTCAAAGTGATAGTATTTGTACATGTGGTAAGTAGATCTCATTCTTTTTGCTGCCCCTCAAAAGGTGAGGGGCAGAATGCTCTCTCGCATTTGCAGGTAGAAACTATACTAGCAGTTGTTTGCTCCCTCTGTGTATTTATTTCTATAATGTCAGAGGTTTGGTTTTTTTTCTTCATTATCATCAAAGCAGCTGGGGAAATATAAGGTTTGCATGATCATTTTATTTCTCTATTTGCCAAAATGTAAATCAATGCAAAGTTAACACCTCAAACTTGGAATACTCCACTTGAGAAATGTTAGAAAGACTTTAGATTTGAAGACTGTTAATCGCATGAGTCGCATGGAAATGCAGACTGCAGATAATGCTGCCTGATTTTGTGTCTCATGTCTTGTTTTCCGTTTTATTTGCAGGAAGCCAGTGGTCAACAACAGGTTACAGTAGAGACGTCCAGTGACCATTCTCCATATACATATCAGCAAAATAAGTAACTGTGAGGTAGGGGCTCATCCTGTAACATAAAAGATGTGAATTCAAAGATATTTTATTTCATAACTTGCAGTACTCTGTATCGAATTTTTTTTTTTTTTTAATATCATATAAATAACACTGATAATATCTGGGGACAGGCAGTGAAGTTAATTTGAACTTGGCCAGAGTTAGAAGCCAGGAAAGGAAGCACAGGTTCCAAAAGTGAGTTAATGAATTATGAGTAATAGTGTTTTAATGATTTCTCTATAGCATAACTGTATTATGTTGTATTTTAATTTGTTCATCTTGGCAGCATACTGTATACAAGAATAACAATGAATTAGCGCAAAAATGCTAGAATCACAATGCTAAAGGGAACTGTATTTATACGTATAATATCGTCTAGTTCTGCGGTACACGTAAGACTTGGAAGCAGCTTTGCAACTAACTTACAGACTTCTTATATGTTCAAGAATATAAAGATAGAAACAAACCAGTGGGGAAAAGTTCGCACATTCAACAGATGGCACAGTCTGCATAGCGCAACATATGACCTGTGTTTATTATTGTAGTCTGGCCAAATGCCGGCATCTAGAGAAAGCCCACATCCTTGATTTGCATCCAGAGCAGGGAGAAAGCAAAGCCACAGGCTCTTCTCATTATCCATCTCCTAGTGTTAAAATCATGGCTCCTGCATGTTTCCTATGCCAAGGCTATTGGCTGGTGTTAACCGCTTTTCAAGGAATTACTTGTTTTGCCTTAAGTCTCCCCTGTGGGCATGTAAAACTTCCTTACCAATAGAGATCTGTGGTAGACGGCGAAGCGTAATCCTGCACGTCATCTCCCCATCCTGCCTCTCTCTCCCAGCCTGTCAGTGTCTTTCCCATAGGCTGGGGCCAGGCAGGAGGAGCAGCATTTAGTCTCCTGAAAGAATGAGATGTGTTGCCATCTGAGACACATTTTATAATGATAACTCTGTGTAGAATACCGAGCTCTGTGAGCAAGCCTGTTGTGTTTGCTGTAAGTCAATCCCCCATGTATTTTATTCTTCGGAGAAGTACCATTACCTGTGTTTATATGCAGTAGAAGCCAGTGAAATCTATGTCAGCAATGGCTATGGCAGTGGGCACGTGGGGAAGGTTAATATTACTCAACTGATTTCAGCCCCAGAGTATGGCATTTGGTATTTCTGTCCCTGGAACATGTTGGTACTTGTCATTTTTCGGACAGGTGAAGGGGAGGGAATTGACAGTTATTTCTCGCCCTAAATACAGGGAACGCTGCGGTCTCTTAATTGCTGTGGCTTCGTTACTATTGTCAAATTGAAACTTCTTTCTAAATCCACATGCAGCACTTCTGGGAATGTCCTATTAAAAGTCAGTATATGTATTGCCATAAATAAGGGGTAAATGACAGCTAGCACTTTTGCACAAGTGGATGCAGTCAATCAGGAATACACAGCGTCTTTCCTTTGACAGCTACATTTAATAACTTCATAGCTTCTTTTCAAAAAGTTGCTACTATGTGAAAATAGTCAAAGGGACTTGTAAAAACAAAAAAAGTCATAATTATATATGCACATATAAATGTACGAGCCTTGAAATACCAGACTTTGTCTTGCCTTGAGAAATTAAAAAATTGTCCAAACATTTTTTCATTAGCTGGGTATTTTTTTAAACCCATATGGCAATATAAGCCAACAGAGTAAATTGAGAAGTCTTCCTTCAAATTTAATGAGCCCTGAACTGCTGTTAAGTATTAACCATCATGGAGGCACAGTAGCTGTCTCTGCGTTGGCTGTTGTAACTTGTACGTAGTCTCCCTGGGGCTGCACCAAAAGAAAGTTGCGCTCCTTTTCCAGAGATCAAAAGCTTTGGAGATGCCGCAGGAGTAAGCTCACACACTCAACCACTTTTGGTCAATTAAAAGGAAACAACAGTAACAAAACAACAAAGGAGGAAATCGCTTTGAATGCAGTCTCAGGGTTCCCCAGTGGGAACTCTGCATGCTGAACAGGTATCAGAGATAGAGGGGGAAAATACAGGCAGAGAGCCTTATCCTGGGAAGGGCCAAGCAGCTCTAGTGCTGCCTGTGTTACTTCTCAAATTTGTACTCAGATTAACTTAGTCTTCTCACAGCTGTCTAAAATAGGAAATTATTTAGTTTTATGGACAGCTGCATTAGACAAAACCCATGCAATTGTAACTCTGCTCTAGCTCTGACCTTTCTGTGTTACAGATGTCCAGCGTTGACCTGGCCTGGAGAAGAGTGCAAAGGCTGAAACAATCATGGATTTTACTGATCAATTGTGCTTTAGGAATTATTGACAGTTTTGCACAGGTTCTTGAAAATGTTATTTATAATGAAATCAACTAAAACTATTTTTGCTATAAGTTCTATAAGGTGCATAAGAAAAACCTTAAATTCATCTAGTAGCTGTTCCCATGAACAGGTTTATTTTAGTAAAAAAAAAATTTTTATCAAGTGTTATGACGCAAAAAAAAAATATTCAAATTTCTGGGTATGCACAGATGACCACGAAGACTTATTCACGTGCATGACAGAATTTGTGTTTTGGTTTATTTTTATTTTGTTTGTTTCTTTTTTTTTTTTTTTTTTTTTTTTTTTTTATTAGAATTGGGTTTTTTTAGGTTTAATTTGTTTCTTTTTTTTTTTTTTTTTATTTTTATGAAATGGGTTTTCTGAAGTTTAAAATAGTAAAACATCTAAGATGATGTTCTGTGCTTGCAGTGTGTGAGTGTTGCTTTAGTGCAGTGTTGCAGTTATAGTGTCTGGTCTTTTAGCTTTCTGTTTTTCTTTTAATGTAGTGTGAAGTGTCTTATCCTTTTCTATAAATTCCAATTTGCCTTAAATCTTTCAATGCTGTAGCTGTTTCAGTAAGTAGTCCAAACTAATGGTGTAGAATGCTTTGACCAAATGAGCTGGTCTATTATGCCTTGTAAAACAGCAGCATAGGGCTTTTAAAGGTAGTCAATAAAAATTGCTGAAAATTTGGCTTTTTTAATGTGTAGTAAGTGTTTTTAATGATTTTTCACATAATATGTAAGGTAGTGAAATGCAAGAGGGGAAAAAAATGTTTTGTGTGAAACACATTTTCTGACTGGGGAAATTTTAATAGGATAAATTGTTTGTAAGGCCATATGCCAATAGTTCCCTCTGGTAGTTTGAATGATTTAGGAACTCTGCTGTATGATGCAATGTAAAAATCTTTTTTTGCCTTTTTTCAGAAACTAACTTGATGTTCTAGTTTTAGCATAGGTAGAGTAGGGAGTTTGGGGTGGGGATATCACCGAATGTTTTTGTCCTTCCTTTATACTAATGATAGTGCTTTAGGATGAGGATTGTGCTGAGACTTAGCAAACAGAAAAGTTGCTATTACAGCAAAATGGCAAAAGCTAAAGGACTCGTTTTCAAACATATGCTGAGATGTAAGTAGAAGCATAATTGATTGGGTACTAGCTCTCTATAGTAGGTAAATAAAAATAAAAAGACTTGGCACTTTTAAAAGGTAACTTTACCAAAGAACAAAGAGCCAGTAACCAATAATTCTGATTTGTCTCAGCATTACGTCTTCTGTACTCTTTATTTTTGCCGGACCAGTTTGCGGTTAGGAGAATGTGCCTTTTTTGTACATTTGCATTTAGGTTTTATAATTTTAATTGATGTATGGACACAAAAGCATGAAGGAAGACTTGGATCCAAGCAGTGCCACACTTTACATCATCACTACAAGTGTTAAGTGTAAAGAAAACCAATTTTGAAACTATGAAATTCCTGATTCATAAATACACAGTTATTTGTACTTCACATATTAGATAATTCACTGCTACTAAAGCTCTTTATTACAATTGCATATGTTTTAAATCGAATGATAAATTAAGTTGTCTTCCAAAACTGTGTACTTCTCTGGTCAGCTGTATATGATCAGTTATCTACCTCAAAGTTTATTTCCTTTTGTATTGGGACAGGTTGCTGGCCCTCCCTGTTTCCACAGACCAAATCATCCTAGCTCGGGAGCTAGGGCTAAGCAGTTGTTTCTTTCAAGTATTTTTTAGTTTTTAAATTTTGTGTGAGTATTGGAGTATAGATGTCGGTGACATTTCATAGTTTCAAAAGTAAATTGCTGCTCTGAGAAGTGTAGATTCTAGTGAAATACATAGTCATAAGAGATGTGTTTTTGTTTTTTCTTTTTTTAAAAAGTTGTGGTATTATTGGTTCTATGCTCCCTGGAATATTACTGCTTTGTAAAAGTCCAGACTTCCTGCAGCACCTTGCCTGTATCTGGTAGCTTTCCAAACCTGGATCTCTCACTACTTGATATTTTTGCGTTAATTAAAACTGCAGTATGATAGCTGTGTTAGAGGGAGGGAAGAGCTGCTGCCAGAAATGTCTGAACTAAGTGCCATACTCATTGTCTGGGTAAGATTTGGGAAATTTAACCTCTGTACATAAAGAAATAATCAGTTACTTAAACATCACATAGTAGACAGCCATTAAATTATAAAAAATTAATTTATGAAGAAAGACCTTTTGTACAGATTGAAAAAAAAAGATTTTCATAGAGATATCTATATGATCAAGAGAGTTAATTTTTTATTTTTGTTTTACTAGTGCCACAAACTTGCCAGTGGTAACTTATTTGTCCGGTTCAAGATAACTCTGTAGTTTTGTTTCCTAGGACTTGTTGTTAAACGCCAAAAGACATTTTTGAACTGTAAATTTGATTAGATTGTTAGCTTTTTTCTGTTTTATTTCTTTGAAAACTTTTGAATAAAAAAGATCCAAAAAAAAGAAAATGCATCGCCTTTTTCCTTCAGCTGCTCCTTTATTTGGGGGAAAACCCCAACAGATTATGGTAAAACCTTTGCATTTATTTTGAAGTGCTCGGAGTTGCTTTCTGCTTTACAGTCTGGGTTTTTCCTTCCTCTATCTTTTGTTTAAATCAAATTTTAACTCTTTCAAACCACATTACAAAGTCACCTATTCTTTCAGACAAAACAGGAAAAGACGTATGAAAAATACATGATGAAATATCTGCTTCGAATGCAAGAACTCTGTTCTTTGTGTCAGCCCACACTGATAGCTGTATATAACCAGGCCTGCACACTGTAGTTGTAAATGCAAGGAGTAAGGGTGGAGATGGAGGGTCACTCTGGTAGTTCGTAGCATTGAACTGCTGCCTGAAAGTGCTTTCGTCCTCCCAAGTGCAGTGGTGTTGGCTGGCATACCCAGTTCTGGAGAGCAGAGGTGATACTTCACTGGAATTAAAAATTATCCCATGTGTTTGCCTTCCAGCATTTTATTTTTTTTAAAGATAATCTTGGATTTTATTACCCTTTTGGCAAGATCACCACTGCCAATGGTGTGTATGAGATAGAGGACTGCTCTGCCCAAGGTAACGCTTGGGAAGGTAGTACAGTAAAATATCAGCTAGTGTGTCTCCTCAGCCAAACGCTTTACCAGTCACGCAGTCCTCGGCATAGCATTCTATTGACGCGTATGGCAGGAGAGGGGCTCTGACCTAGTCTTGGGTGCCCCAGGGTGCGCCCAGAGGCAGAGAGCAGTGACTGGGTGATCCCGTGGGCTCCTGCGCCTTGCCACCGGTGCTGGGTAGGCACAGGGGAGGCAGGCTGTGCTGCCCTGGAGAACCCCCTCCCCCTTGGGACACAGTCCTTTACGTTACACACCTGGTTTTTGACATATCCCAAGGACTCTGCCAACCCTGCGACAGGCCAGGCAGCCTGCTGGGGTGGGTCAGCTGGGGTCACGCTGCAGGCAGTGTGCAGCCCAAGCTTTCAGTCGCACGATGCTGATGCGAGATACTGAGAATAAATGTGTTTCCGGTGGAGCTAGCGAAAGGGACTCACCTAGAGGTTAGGAAACTTGGTTTATATTAGCTTATGCAATAAAGACATCCTCGACAATGATGGCTCTTACTATTAATGAAGAGAAAAAACCCTCGCACTGCATGTTGCTAAACACATTTAGACTCCTGCAACTGAAGAAATGCCATTTTACCATTTTGTGGTAATTTAAATACTGGCCCAGTATGTTGCCTGTCTAAAATGCAATGGATGAGAAGATGAATACAGAAAACATAAAGGGTTTTGTTATATTATTCCTATTCGCCACCATACTGAATTAATCTCAAATTAATAAGCAGCCTTTTTGAATTAAGTATGAATACTACCTTACAAAAGCTGTATGTCATAGACTCAGAATAATGCAGGTTGGAAAGGCTTTTTGCTATCTATTTGCTCTTCTAATTAGCCCCATGATAAACTTAGCTCTCTTACCTTAACTCCAAATATATTTGATAAGAATGAATGCTTTCAGATTAGTACCTTTGGCCTGCTATAATAAGGTTGTGTATCATTTCTATCAGGCAATCTGCAATAATGCAATGTCTTTATGTAATATACTTTTATTATATATATAATCAAACTAATTTATTACCAACTGGCTTGTTCAAATGGTGACTCCATCCTGTTGCATACAATTTGTTTTGAACCCTACTTGCAAACTTGCTGTTAAAATGTTTTACCTCATAACAAATACTGACAAGCATCATGTTCATGTAGGCTGGTTTTAAACTGATAGAAATATTGTGCAAGATTATGCACAGACTCTATTGTTGGTTGTTAGTGATTAGAAAGTAGTCTTTCTTTAGGCACTGAACAAAATCTTTTTCTCTGCTAAATTAACTAACCTGGGCAGGTGCAAGACAAGTGCAAGCAATGCATTAAGAGCAGTGTAACAAAGGACCGTTGATCAGCTGAGCCCTGGCTAATGACTGTTTGCATATATTGGCTAGAGTATTTGTGGAGTAAGTCAGAGTAGTCTAAAGCACTTTTCTGGTACTCTTTGTCAGTTTTTCTCGGGAAAAAAAAAAATTTAAAAGTGCTGATTTGCTTTTCCCTTCTAGCTTTAATTTATGCTATGGTACCTCTACCATAGCAGACAAACTTGATGATTAACTAAAACTGTGCCACCTCACTTTCCAGAGAAACATCATATGAGAAATGCGGTTTATGTGCCAGAATATTTATATGAGGTTGTACTCCTACTCCTGTGAACACTTTACTGCACTTGCTCCTTTTGCTTTGATCAACAGCTCCAAAATTATTTGCAAACTTTCACATGCGTTGGAATAAGATACTCAATCCTAGCCTGTCCAGCAGTGTCTTATCATGAAAGCCAATGTGTTATTTGGTGGCATTTAAGACATGTATGCTGTTACCTTCCAAACACTTGCAACACTGACGTACTCTTTCAACTGTGAAGGATCATCTGTGTCGTTCCCTAGCCAACAAATTCTGGCATTGATTAACCCAAACAAATCTGAGGCTTTTGGCTTTCACGCTTGGTCCATTAATTCTATCTAGAATAGGGGTTAGGCTATACAAAACCTATTCTGTTTGGCAACTTCTCCTCCAGCTCCTAAGAAAAGCCAAGCTGATGTCAGAACAGCAAAGATTTA